CCTTCAATTGTATAGCAAATAGGGGTGAATTCACAAGGCCCCAATAGAATAGTTCCAATGTAGTGGTCACATAGACAGTCCTGGTTAAAATCAGATGGTCACAAACAAAACAACCAAAAGCTATGAATGTGAGAATATGACCTGTGGGCAAGAGGGGAAGATAACAAGTATGAGAGGGAGATAAAAGTGAGTGTGGCAGAGAATAAACAGAGCATATTAAATACATGTATGAAATTATCAAATAACAATTGGAAAAGACAGAAAATAAAAAATAATTACATTCATCTAATTGATATGCAAATTTTCTTTCATTCTTAAAAATTGTAAAATTATATTTATACAAAACAATTGTATTAAAATATGTGATTTATTAGCAGAAACTATTTGGGATCACATAAAAATTTTTTAGGTGAAATTGGGTGCAGGGTGGAAAAGGCTTAAAAGGTCTGGCCCCATTGAAGGATAAATTACACTAGGGCTTGAATACTATCTCTAAGGTTAAATTGAAAACTTTATATCTGAGTGCTGTCAGTGGAAATTTCAAATGCATTCACTGCATATGTGAGTTCACTGAAAAGTTTTTGAAAATCAGTTTATTGTTTGTTTGTATTTCTTTTTTGCACTGATAATCCATTTTCCTTTAGAAATGCAGTTGATCACAAAGGAAAATATCACCCAATATCTCAAAAGACAAAGCCATTGATAACTTCTTATAGTGTACATACTTTAAGTTTTTTTCATACTTTAAAGTTTTTATGTAGTAAACATAAGGGTCTATTTGATGTTATCTATTATATTTTAATGCTGCTCTCAACTGAGTACTAATATTCACCTTTATGCTTAGTTACTGTAGTTTTTTTCAGATTATACAAATAAAACATGTTTATTGAAGAAATATAAAAAATACTGAGAAGCACAAAAAATTCTACTTACCAGTAAATTCAGATGTAGCCACTGGTTACATATCTTATATGTCCTTATATCTACATGTGTTTTACATATGTGTATACACAAACATTTTTCTAATTATTATTGTTGTATAACCTTTTTCAACTTAAGATTTTAATATTTTCTTTTGTCATAGACTATTCTTTAATTGCCTCAGTTTTAGGTATTATATGACAGCCATATATATGCAGATTAGACATGTCAAAATGCAGTTAACATATTTCTTTTTCTTTTTTTTTAATTGTTTACAAGTCATGAGAAAATTTTTATTACATATATTTACTATTTGTGTTATACATTTCTTCAATCCTTTATTTAAAAAGTTGTATTTTTAAAAATTATTTATTTAATAACCACATAATTAGAAGAAGCATTTCATTACAACGGCATTGACATATTCAATAACAATTTCCACAACAAAGATGCATCTCTTTCAATATTGGCTGTAACTTTTTTTTTTTAATTTTTAAAAATGATTTATTTAATAACAACATAATTAGAAGAAGCATTTCATTACAACGGCATTGACATATTCAATAACAATTTCCACAACAAAGATGCATCTCTTTCAATATTGGCTGTAAATTTTTTAAGTTCACAGTTGAAATAATACAGTTATACAATATTGAACTCAGTATAAACCCTATAAGACATAAAATTAAATGAGGTTCCAACGTTTAAAAAAGATCTCCACTTCGTTGTCAAAGCACACAGTTTCATACAGAAAAATTCATTCCAGGGCTCTTGACATTGAGACATTTTCACATGCATTTCTAATCTCTATATACATGACTATCACTGGTCACAGTAGCCCACCTTCTGAGCTCCTCGGCATCTGATCATGAATACAAACTCGTCAGGTAGACAGCCTTCCTCCCCCACTAGAGCGTCCATACTCTGCTATCCCTGCCACTGTCCACTGTGCTGTCAGCACCCCCATCTACTAACACTTAGATGTTTGCACAAGCGTCTCTAATGTTAGTTATCGTAGTTTTTTCTTCTCTGTTACTGTGATAAAACACTTCCAGTTAGTAGTTCATCACTGAGGGAAGCTATAGAAGGAGGTCAAGCAGGAACCTGGAGGCAAGAACTGAAGTAGAGATTACAAAGGAATGCTGGTAACTGACTTACTCTGCTACATTTTTTCTACAGCCCAGGCCCAGTGCCCAGGAATAGTGCAAACTACAGTGGGTTGGGCTTTCCTACATCAATTAACAACCTAGAAAACGCCCCTACAAACATGCCCACAGGCCAATCTGATGTACAAAATTCCTCAATTAAGGTTCTTTCTTCCTAGTTGTCCTTACTTGTGTCCAGTTGACAAAAACTAACTAGCCCAGTTGCTATAGTTCCTATTTAAGAACTGTAATAATATTTCCATATCAACACCCACTTAGACATTACTTTGCAGTAGAACCTCCAAAGTTGCTTGTTAAAAATGGAATTTCGGGGTTGGAGAGATGGCTCAGCAGTTAAGAACACTGGTTGTTCTTGCAGAAGACCCGGGTTTGAATCCCAGCACCCACACTGCAGCTTACAACTGTCCGTAACTCCCATCCCAGGGGATCCGACAGCCTCTTCTGACCTCTGTAGGCATTGTACCACACGGGTGCATTTCCCTACACGCAGGCAATACACACATACACATAAAATAAAAATAATAATTTTTTTTAAAAAATGAAATTTCAAGATTCTTCTTTAGTAGATCTCAGGTGGAACCTTTAATCCATGTGTAAATCCACAATTTTAGAGATCCCAAGTGATTCTTGCACGTGGAACAGATTAGATTTCTTTTAAGAACATTAAGGCATTTCTGGTAAATCCAGTGTTCTTTCAGAAATTACAAGCAGTCTCTTCTAGAAAAAGAAGTTTTATATCCAAGGTTATTTAGTTAGTTGGGAACTGAAATGAGGCACAAACTAAGACCTCCTGACTCAATCATTGTTAATTTCACTCTTTTTGAAAGTGTCTACCTCTAGTCAAGCAGAAATCACAGCATAATCAACAGACATTTCAATCCTGGATTAGGAACAGGAGCTGCGCTGGACTACTGCAACTCATTTAGGGATACAGCTACATACCAAAGGAGGGGAAGAACTGAGGACAGATTTATTGACTAATAGGTGAAAAACAGGTAAGTGCAGGTCATACACTCATGGCCTTGTTTCAGTTGTATGAAACCAATGTCATTCCCAATCTATAAAAACTTCCTGGGTTTATTCATGTGGCTAAGAAATCCAAATTTGCCCAATGAATATAAGCCTTATGGCTTTCATAAAGTGATTTAAAATTGTGATTTTCTTTCCTGTGTACATAAATCATAAAACTGCAGTCTATCAGGCTATGATGTTTCTATTAATAAATTGACTGGATTGAGGATGACCTAAGGTGTTAAAATGGCAAAACTAACTCCATTTTGTTTAGCTGACTTTCTCTTTACCCTGTGTTTTTGCCCGGTCATTCCCACTGCAGCCAGCCAGACAGAACATTTCATGCAGGCAGTCTCAGAGAGTGTATTGTTTCTACAATACTGGGAAACTTACAGGTAGCCAGGTAGCATGTCCAGGTAGCACGTCCTCCCACCCAGCTATAGCTGCATCTCCATGGAGCCCATTGTTTCTGCAATTCTAAGAAACTTGTTTTTTCCTAACTGAAACTTTTTGTTAGCTGAAAACCTCTTTGTTAACTGATCTGCCCCTAGTCTGGTGTAAGTATGGTGATCTGATGTAACTGTGGTTATCAGCTTTGCCCCTGTCATGATGTAGTTACAGTTTTAAACTTTATAAACTCTGCCCTGCTTCTCATTGGGGTCAAGAGTTCTTTTGGACATTAGCCCCCTCTGACCACTGGCTACTAATAAAAGACTCCTAATTCGACCATCACTATGTGGTGTCCCTTTGTAACTCTTGCACTATTACAGTATTAAAGTGAACCTGTTTCTAGGCAGGTGAGACTAAGGGAAAGACCCACCATTAATAAGGACAGTGCCATCCCTTTGGCTGGGGTCAGTGATGGAATAAAGTGAGAAAAATAGAGATATTCATTCTCTCCCTTTCTCCCACTCCTGACCATCATAATGTGAGGTGCTCCATTTCACAATACCTTCCCTACAATGATAAACTAAAATATTTGGTATCAGGAGCCAAAATAAATCCTTTCTCCCTTTAAGTTATTCATTTCGAGTGTTTTGTAACAGGGATAAAAGGTCTAACATACCCTTTTGCTACTGGTGCTCCAGGTTCTTGGCCTCTTATCCAAAGAAGAGAAAATAAATACTCACATATATTTGCAAAGAAGCAAGATAATTTTATTCAGAGATAAGCAGTAGTGCAGATTGTAGAAGGACACGCTGTCAAGGTTGACAGTGGCCCACACAAGTGAGAGCACCCAAGGACCCCATTATTGTTTGGGGATTCCTTTCATGGGGATAAAGAGGAGGGGTTGGTTATTAATGGGTGTGGCTTAAGTAATTCTCTAATTTGATTAGCAGAAGTCATACATTCATTTTCCATAATGCACGTGTTCTCTCCCATAATGCACCTGATTTTCACCATATGCATGCCCAGTTATGCATAGGCTTAAGATGGTAAATAGGAGATTCTTCCTAAAGTTCTACTAGAGGACACAATTTTGCTTTACTAAGCATATACTCAAACCCAGTTTAGGCTGACTCAGACCCTTCTATTCTTCATACCCAGATGGTTAGGAAGCATACTATTATTTGTTCAGAGATGGAAGTACTTGAAGCTTGATGCAGGTTGGGGTGGAATTGAGGGAGTTTGGAGGTTATTAGGTCCATTATTTGGATGTTTGGAGAGGGGTGTATGCATAGTGAAGGAACTAGGCTGCCAAGTACATGATTACAACAGGGGACTGTGTGCATAACCTCAAACTAAATTGGGTTCCAGGATACTAAACTATCTCCTAGGCTTACCTGTCTTACTTTCACAGAAATTAGTCTCAGTATTAATTCTTTTGAAATATAATTTCTCTACTTTGCCTTTTATGTATGGCACAGATATGTAGTAACCTTTAGAGAATAAATACCAAGATTGCTTTTTAAACTGCTTTATTAGCTTCACAATATATAATGTGCATTTTCCCATGCAATAGATAAATTCTGCTAACAAAAATTTTATAGGCTGAATCAAAAACAGAATTTTCAGTTAGAAGCTGGCAGTAAGTGGAGACCCAAGAGGGAACAAATAACATCAAAAAAACTTACAACAGTACATCACAAACATATAAGTTTAAGAAGCAAGGGTCCCCATATTATCTTCAGAGAAAACCTCAGGATTCAGGGCATAAGGCAAAACTCATCATGATGATCATGGTGAGGGGGGTCAGTGCTAACTGCCCGCAGACTATGGCTCAGCTGCCTTTCCCTCAACTTCTCCATGAGCTGCCTCACATCTTCCCCAAACCTATCCACATTCTCCTCTCTCATCCTTGCCTGGGGCTCTCCAACCCTATGCATGAGATCCCATCTATAGTGCAGGATGGGCTGTCTAGCACGGAACCGCCTGCGATTTCCTCGAGGCACACAGTATTCGCCAGCTTCCAAAGGGAGGGCCACGGGCTCCCTTTTATCAGCATCTTGCTTCTTTTCTTGCTTTTCCTCCTTTTCCTGATGATCATTTTCCATGTTGAGATTTTTTGCCGCTCTATCCTCTTTGGACTCCATTACTCCTAGGAGACAAGAGAATTATTAGATGGTTCAGCACCGAGGACAGAGGCTCTACTACACATTTTTCAACATTCACTATTTTGAATTTCCATGTTGTTGTCATTTTTAAAATTTTGTTTCTCAATTTTTTTCTTTTTCTACATGAGAGACCCCACACGCCCTCTAGGGGGCCCCCAATCCTAACCCCTCCCTGCCCCCAAACCACCATTTTCCCAGCAGATCTATCTCCAAGGCTTTTGTAAGCATCAAAATGGAGGATCAGGGGTGAAATTGGGGGGTGAGCGATGGTAGAGGGTCGGGGTAGGAGATGGGATGGAATAGCGGAGAGCGGATGTTTCAGGCTGGGCTTAGCAGATGTTCCTGCATCACCTCTCCCGCCCCTCAGCACTGCCCCGGCACCAACCTGGGCCTATCCTTGCTGCGTCCTCCTCCTCTCAATGGTCGCTCCGAGATGCGACACCGCAACTCTCCGCCTCACCGACCTGCGGACAGCTGCTGGGTGGGATGGGAGAAGCTCAGACACTCCCACCCAGGGCGCCCCCTACCCTCCGGCGGCTCGCGCCCTCCCGGGGGGACCCTAGGGCCAGGTCCCCCGTCCTCAGCTCCGCCGCCCTCCCTGGAGACCTCCGTATCCCTCCCCCCCGCAGGGATGTTCCCAGGCGTGGACCCCGAGCCCCGTTCAGAAAGCCGCGGGGTCGCCGCGCCCTTGCCGCTCTCCTCCGCGCGCTGAAGCGTCAGCAGGGCGCCCGGCGCGGGCCCCCGGGCCCTTACCTGCTCCGCTCGGCCCGGGACCGATGCCAGCCCGCCGAGCGCACAGCAGCAGGGAGCTGGTGGCCAGACAGAAGTGACGACTGCACCCAAGGCTGCGTTGCTCTGCAGCCTCGGGTCACGTGAGGACCGAGCGTCACAGCCAGGCTTGCTCCCCACCTTGGGCGGCCAGTGAGGCAGGACGCCCCGCCCCGCTCCCCGCTGCAAGCGCGCGCGTCACGCCCCCCACCCGTCACTCATCCAGGTTCTCGCCAATCTGAGGACCCACAAGTGGCATCACCGTCTGGCGGTTGGACTTGATTCTTCCCTGTTACCAGGGAGAGTCTGCATTATTTTCCGTGCATCAGCACCGCCCCCACACCCTCCCACCCCCGTCTTGGCCTTAGTCTTGGACTCTGTTGCATTCTCTCTTTTTTCTGTCTATATAGACCTTTTCTAACCATTTCTTTTTATTTTCTTTTTAAAAATTAGCATGTCTCTTCCAGACATAGTGGCTCACTTGTAAATCCCAGGACTGAGGAGGCTGAAGTAGGAGGTTTATTTACCTTGAAGTAAGGAGGCAGATTTGGGCTACATAGTGAATTTCAAGTCTGTCAGGGCTACGCAGTGAGACCCTGTTTCAAAACAACAAATTGCATGCCCCCAAATTTGAAAAGTAGTAAATTTCATGTTTTAATTAAATGTTAGAAAGTGGGGAAGTAAAAGAAATAAAGATCATTGTTTGCTTCTGCTGAACAGAATGTATTTATTCTGATCAACACAAACCATTTTTAGAACATGCTAGCTTATTTGAATATTTTTCTGGAAAAAGAAAAAAAGACAATCTTCCAGAACACAGTCTGTGTTTCAAAAAATGATCAGTTACGTAAATGTTAACAAGTCTCCTTGTTAGATCACAGTCATTTTATGTAAACAATCTGCTTTTTTACCCTTCTGGGACAAATATCAACTGTTAATAAATGTTTCTGTTATGTTTTATTCAAATATTACATTCTCTAAGTGTACTAAAGGCTTCTGTTAACGGCTAACATCATTTACTGAAAATAAATGGCTATTATTACAGCTGGCTTTGAAGACCTAAACAAAGGGGAAAAGATGTGAGATTACCCAGTTTGAAGAATATAGGATATTCGGATCATCTCTGGTTTGATAAGAGGTTAGAAAGCAACTGGATTTCCTACCACCATATTCCAGAGCCCCTCATTGCCTATGCTCAATTCCTATTTTTTACTCCAAAACTATATAGTGAAATCACCTATTTCTTTTCTCCATTTCTTCCCTAAATTCTCCCCTAATGACTTACCTTCTAGGATCAATTAGAGGTCTGTCCACATATTAGAAACCAGATTAAATGCCCTACACTTGTATAGAGAGACTCCACATAGACTACACACGTGTCTGTAGAGTCAGGGGGAGGGAGCTCCCAAGCCTACCTGTTCTTTCTTCACAGAACTAGAGAAAACAATAAAAAAATGTGGCTAGTATAAACTAATGTAGCCATTATGGCAATAATAATTAAACACAGAACTACAATATGACCTGGCTATACCACTCCTGGACATATACCCATAGGACTCTATCCTACCGCATTGGTATTTGCACACCCATGTTTCTTGGCGCACTATTCACAAGCAACAACATGGAACTCACTTAGATTCCACCAAGCAATGAATGGATAATGAAAAGGTTGGTATGTACAGAATGTAATTTTATTCAGTTGTACCTAAAGTAAAATTGTGAAATTTTTAGGAAAATGGATGGCTCTGGTAATTATTATATTAAATGTGGTAACTCAGACTCAGAACGACAATGTGTGTGTGCATGAGCGAGAGAGAGAGAGAGAGAGAGAGAGAGAGAGAGAGAGAGAGAATAGGATAGGTCATAAAACTAGGAAGAGCATCATGAGAGGAGAAAATTATTGAGGAAGACATGGACAACAATAGTACACATCTGACAAAAACAAAAATGAGATTACTATGGTTGAAGGGTACAAGAGTGTGGGGTGTGTGAGGGAAGAAGGAAGAAAGATCAGCAAAAACAAATGTTTAAAAATGTCATAATAGCTGGAGCTTGAGTTTGGAAGGGGTTTAACCCAACTGGGCATGACACCGTCATTGCAATTATGATCCCACAGCGGCTGAGTTTGCTTCCACTGAGCCTGAGCAAGACTGTGCTTGTCATTAGTTAATCCTACAATGGGGCCCTTCCCTTCTCTGTTGAATTATTAACTACTGATGGATTCTAGGGGAGGAACTGTGTACCAACAGGTGAGGCTACCGGGCTCCAATGGGAAATTCCAAATCGATGGTCAGAAAAATGATCCTGGTTAAACTCAGTGGGTCATAAAACAAAACAAAAAGACATAAGTGTGAGAGAAGGACTCATGGGGAAGAGCAGAGCGAAGGTTGCAAGGTCCCTGTGGCAAATACACAAAACCACGGGTCTTTTAGATTATGAGTCAGCCCTACAAGTTAGGCTTTGGTTTCCAGGAATTCAACTACATCTCCTGGTTAATTTACATTGAAATTACGAGACCAGACCAACATCAGAACAAAGATTTTAAGAATGAAGATGGTGACATCTGAAAATTTCTTCTTATTCTGTTTTCAAGATTCTAGATCTTTTAGTGTGAGAAGCTTCTCTTGAATTGGGTCCTGTGCCTGGAGGAAGTAAAGGGAGGAGTTGGGAGATCAGCAGCTACAGTCCTGTACCCCAATGAAGTAAAGGGGGGAGTTGGAAGATCAAGAGCTCCAGGAGTCCTGGCTTCACTTCCACGCCAGCTGGCCTTTGCTCACTTTGCTTGAATTCCCAAAACTTACCCTGGGCAGAGTAAGACTTTGTATGGGTCTTTGGTAATTCCAGTGGCTGTCATGGAGGACCCTGAGGTGAAGGAAGAATAGGAGGCATCCATTAAGAACCAGGAAGAGATACACTGACCACTCAATGGTATTTCCTAATCTATACAACAGAAAACATGTCTCCACATAGATTTCATGATACTCAGAAGAATGACCCTTGTGGCATAATATGGACAAACTCCTGAAAACCCAAATGTCTCCCAGTTAAGTAACAGAGTTTATAGAATTCAGGAAAGTATTATATAGCTCTTCAAAATTGTTACCTTACAATATACTAAGGAAGAAACATTCAGTGAGATAGTAAGTGAAATAAAGAAGCAAATAAAGTTCCCACAACTCACCCCCCTACTCTTACCTCATTCCACATCACTGTGTACACCTAAAACTTACTTCTGGGACCACTGAAGATTCATCCCAGACTGAGGGTAGAATGCTTGCACTGTTTCCTGCTGCTCCTGGGAGAGGTCAGGCAAATAGCTGGAGGAAGGTGTAGCCATGGGAATGATGGCACTTGGGAGCTCTTGGACATTCCTCACAAACAGCTTGTCGTTGATAATACACAGGCTGTACAAAAAACACACCCTGAAGTGGACAGACAAATAACAACCATATATGCCCCCAAACAGTCTGGTTTTGCCATTGCTCAGTAGCCAGATGCATCCATGTCTCTGTGTTGCTCTGCTTTGCTTGGCTGGTTATCTTTAATACTTCAAGAGATCAGCGCTTTGGAGACTGTCTACACACTTCACTAGACTATAGGTTTACCTTTAACTCAGAAATGGTTTTATGTTCCCACTTGCCTTCAGCTCAAAGGAGTGATCAGTATAATCACCATTTTTAGAAGACAATGCATTACAAATAGGTAATATAAGGACCAAATTCACAGAACAATCCAGTACTATATGAAGAAAAATGCTGGTATGTCAACCCTAAACTCTACACTGTTAACCACTACACTAGACTATTCCTTGAATCTACCTGTTGGCTTTCCACAATATTGGGAATACCATGAGAACTGCATTCCCACATTGCCACCCTGCTGACTCCATGCTGGGATGGGCGTTCCTGCCCACAGCACACCACTTACTTGGAACTGCTGCCAATAGTAGCAATGAAGGTCCGTGTGAAGGCACGAATGCATCCCTGAAACCTTCCCTCCACTTCAAAGACAAGAAACAATAATGTGCCCTTAGAGTTGTGTAAGCTTTACCCACTTACACTGCATTCACCCCAATCAGAGTCTTATGATGGAGGGGCACAGGACCCTGATGACTTGGAGTCAGGAGTATGTGGTAGAATGGGGTGTTAAATGGGGAAATGGAGAGGTTAAATAACTGGCCCCAACCTACAGACTAAGGAACTGGAAATAGAATCAACAAACCCCATTGGCTTTGTCCATTACCCAAGAGCTGTGGGGAAGACAGGCACAGATCTATATCAGTCCAAGATGGTTTGTGGGCAGGGTGCTGGCAGTAGAACACAGGGAAAGACAGAAAGGAAAGACACAGAATGAGGGGAGCTGGGAGAGTTTTTAGTGGGTGTCCATACAGAGGAGGGAGTAAGAGGGAGATCTGAAGTGGGATTCTATAGGCACTCACCTTCCATGAACATCCCATTGACAGAAAAGCAGACCATTCTTTCCTGAAAGAGAAGAAGGCACAAGCTTAGGGTCTTGCTTAACTTCGTACTCATCTCCATCTTTCTGAGTAATCCCTGAAGTTGGCCCTTACAGTCTGGAAACATATGTCCACCACAAAGGAAGTGAGGTCATGCTGAGTTTTGGGCAATGCACAAAGGGAGAAAATAATGTCACATTTCTTGTGCTTCAGCAGGTACCTCCGCATATCTGTAAAAGAGGAGAGAAAAAATATTAAGGAGCTACCACACCGTCTCCTCTGACACCCGTGATTGTGCCCTTCATCCCCCTTTTATCTTGCCCAGTCTTCCCTATCACAACTTACAAGGATCCTTGAGCGTCTTCATGTTCCTACTGTACTTTAAGTACTCACACAAGCTGCTCCTAAAGAAAAGGAGGAAAAACATGTGGTGGTCCAGTGAATGTGGTGTTTCCAGAAAATTGTGTCTGCAGGGGAGGGACATACAGATCAGAAGTTAAGCTGTGATACTCACGGGGATGAATCCAAGGAAGTGAAGAGAATGCTTAAAGAGAAGTAAGCCTTAGCATGGTAAGCACTGAGGAGTCCCTGTCGATCTCCATGGTCATAGATCCAGTAATACCTGTCAGGGAAGGAGGGATAAATTAAGATAATCTCATTGATCTGGACTCTAAATCAGAGCTCAAAGTTTCATCAACTAGAGCTGTAATTGTATGGCCTTAGTTCCCTCATCCCTCTCCTTCTTCAGATTTCCAAAGGTACTTACTGTTGTAGGAACTCTAGAACCAAAGCCTTTACTATCTCAGATCCAAAGAAACTTCCCTGAAATAAAAGTCCACAAGATACACATGCTGACTTCTTCTTATCCACCATTAAAACTGTCCATTATCTTCTTTCCTTACCTTGCAAGTTGGCAAGTTCTTACTGGCTTCAGGGTTACAGGCAGTTGATCTAGGTGATCCCTGATCATCCTGTGGAAGGAGATGGAAGTCATCAATACAGAGCAGAAAGGTGATGCTGAATGATCAACGAAAAAAGTGGGTTTATGGAAAGGGTGAGATCAAAAGTCGGGTGTGCTTTAAAGGGCCCTGGAAATCCCATTGGTAAAAGTTCAGTTAGGGTCATGACTTGTGATCCATGTGTGGAGATAGGCGATAACCTTTGGCAAGTTCTCACATGAGGCTAGATCACTTATCTGTATCCCTTTGTGATTGAAGAGACAGATCCAAAGCTTTAACTTGAGCGGGGCCTAATGGGTTTCAGAACAGATTGTACATAGTATCTGTCCCAATTAGAGAAGTTAATAATCAAGGGATACACTTACCAGGGATAATAACTTGGGGAACAATTCCAGAATAGAGCTGCCAAAAAAAGGTAAATTGACTTAAGAATTTTGCAATATATATGTATATTAAGATTGTATGATATCCTGTTGACATATATGTATGTAGGCTAATATGTTCAGTTTATATACTTTCATGTACCCCTTGACAAATAAATATAGGAACATAAATAAAAGCAGACAAAAGTAACTGAAACTGAAAATCTCCTCCTTGCAGACTCGTCTAGAGAAAGAAGTACTTCTCTTTCCCCCATTGCTCTCCTCCCTCTTCTCTTTAGGTAGCTCTTAGGCACACTGTTCTGACTTCATTCTTCAGACTTAAAAGAAGCCACCCTGGGATCCCAGGCTTCAGGGCTTCCTTCCTTTTCATGCCTCCATTCTCTTTCTTAAAACCCCCACAGAAGGCTTTTCAGAGAACAAGGAATGGGGCAGGAGCCCAAGGCCCTGCCAACTTGCTAGCTGCCTGGCATTTTACAGGATGCTGGAGCAGGTAGGTGAGGGAGGCAGGACTTGGGACTCAGTAAGAGGAAGACAGCAGGATCAAAACAGAAAGAGACTGAAATAAGGGGAAGGAGATGTGGGCATGTTGTAGGAGAGTAGACGCAAAGGAGAAAGAGAAAACAACACAAAAGGAATGGGAGATGCTCTGTCCAGCTTGGTGCTGGGGATCAGGAATAATAGAGAAGAAAAGGGCTCCTCTGCTGCTGCCCTTCACATTCCCCTGGCTGGTCTTGGGGCCAAAGAAAGAATGAAAGCATGCACTTTATAGGGCTGAGTTTCACTTAATGTAGGGTCGTATTTTTCCCTTTGTTGGGATTCACACAGGGGAACAATGAACTTCCTGGGGGCAAAAGCCATTTCCAGAAGCAGAAAAGTGGAAGATGAGTCTCCAGCTCGGCGTGGGATGTAGGTCTGTGGCCATTTCCCTTGGCCCACTTTGTTCCCTCCCGAAGGTGCACCTGTGCATGTCTGAGTGGGGGTTTTGACCACAAAATCAACTTGCTTGTTTCAGGTTACCCAGGGCTCCTCTTCTATACATTAGGTAAGATGAGCAAGGTATATTGGTTGGTAGATAGGGAAGAGGCAAGGGATGGAAGTCTCTGGGAGGTGTATCTTCCTATCTCATCAACTTCTTTTGCCTTCTGCATGCCCCTCTTGCCCTAGGAAGCCCTCTTCTAGATCTTTGATCCAGGAAACCCAGGTTTCTCCCCAAGGAGTGTAGAGCTCCCAACAATAGCCCAGAAGAATTGATGTTATGTCAGCATCACCCAAGGACTCAGCCCTCAGCTTGGGGCAGGAGAGCCTTCAGGATGGCCTTGGATAGATGGTGCAACTTTCTAGGAATAAATGAAGGAGGGGTCCATTGAGAACAGGGAAGGAGTCTAGTCCCATCTCAAGAATGCAGCCTGGAGGAGGCTAAGGGCTCAGATACAGGATTCACAACCTACATTAAGTGAAAGAAAGGGAAGGTCAGAAGGTAAGGAGGCCCGTGAGAACAGCTGAGGACACAGATAGAGGAGAGGGTGGGGTCTGTGGTCCTCAGAGAAGACCGAGGCTGCTCTTCTTGCAGATGACCACGTCAGACTCCAAGTGGGGGTAACAGAAGATACAACTAACTTTATGTTATTGGACTTATCCAGGGTGGTTGTGCACAGAGAGCTTCTGTCTTCATGTACTTCTCCTGGATTCAGGTTTTTCTCCTTGACCATTGCCTCTGCAGATTTCACCTGAAATTATGGGGAGAAATACCTGAATCATGAGAAGAGAGGCAGGGGAGTCGTAAACCCTAAGTTCTTTCCCTTACCCAAAAATCCACTTCCCTGTCTCTTGTCGCCATTCTGATGAACACTTCCACTTTCCCTTCAAAGACGTCAATATTATATTCACCTCATTTTTGTAGACATCCTGTATTTCAGTATTAGAGGACATTGGCATAGTATCTGACAGGCCAAGCAGCCTATAAGGTTTCTTGTGACTCTGGTTCAAGGGCAAAAGCTATGATGAGGGAAAAATTAGAGTGAATGTTCCAACAGGGAACACTTGAGACCAATCTGACTACAAGATAATCTCCCCCAATCTTACCCTCAAAACAAACATTAGGACCAAGGTATTACCTGGGTCATATTCGTTTCATGAATATTCAGGGAAAGAGTCATGCAACTTCTAGGAATCGGTGCCATGTCAGTGGTATGAGTCATTAAGTCTTCAGGAAGCAAATGAAGAGAATCAGAAGGCTGGAAAGCATCCAGCTGCAGCAGTGCCAGCACCAACACCTCCTCAATTTATAATTCTTAAATCTCCATCCCAGCTGTACACCTCTTGCCTCATTTCCCCAGACTTACTACTATCAGCCACACTTTGGTCAAAGGGGAGTTTCTGCGTAGAAAGGACTTGCTGAGGAGTATCACACCATTTGTTCATAATCATCTGTAGAGTTGCAGATAGAAGTCAGTGACTCTAAGATGGAGGTGATAAAAGGGACAACAATGGGGAGAGATAAGTCTGGTTGTCTTTATACAAATTTTCTTAAGTCTACATTACCTTTGTTTGATCTATCTTTTCTGACTTCAGCTCCTTGACAGAGCGGGGTATATCACAGGGGCTGATGAAGATTGATATCTGGGTGAACACATGAGAGGATGTATTGGTACTAAGAACGCTAAGCCACAGGATCATAAAAGATTCTAACTCTGGCCGACCATTTTGTTCTAATCTGTCGTGGTCATGCCCTTGACACATACCTTATCACAATTCTCGTCCCAAATCTTGTCACTGATACTTTTCAGTTCAAAGGCAATGTCAGCATTCTCAACAAAAAAATGGGCCTGCATTTTATCATAGTGAAACTACATGGGTGGGGTGAGAGAAATATAATGTGAGCAAGGGTCACGGATCACAGTTCATACAGCCTGTCATTTATCTTGCTTCTTCTTGTCCTCCTCACTGTCTTCCCTTACCTCCACCGGATTGAAAGAGATACTACATTTGCTCTGAATCAAATTCAGCAGCCATTTCTCCTCATATCTTATGCCGAATGGAATCTAGGAGCAAAAGAAAAAGGATGGGAGGAAGGCTGAGAATTTGGAATTTAAAGCTAAAATTAGACTTAAGCAGACACAAGTATTCAGCTCATAACACACTATATAAATTCATACATATATATATATATATGTATAAATCTAGAAAATGTAAAATATATAATGGCAGAAAACTAATTAAAAGTTGCTTGAGAAATACTACGGGGAACAAACGGAAGAGAACAATTATAAAGTGACACGAGGAAACCTGATGGGTTTGATGGACATGTAGACTGGGATCATGGATTTGCAGATGTGCAATAAAGTATTTTTAGGTTGTACAATTTAAATAAATGTGGCTTATTATATACTTATTTTACTTAAAGCCACATATATAAGAAATATGACTCAAGCATTCCTTTCAGAACTTTTAAAAGTAATTTCTAAAGTTAAGGCAAATTCCATTATTTCTAACTTTTTCATTTGACATGGACCTCGTGAATATCTGTTCTTTTCTTTCAGATGTTTTTCTTCAATAACATACTGCAAATATTTAAATAAACTTCCTGTTATAGTCTTAATAAAAGATCTTACCTATGCAGACCTAGCTTTCACCTTTAACAAAGGCCCCAAACAATCACACACACACACACCCCTTCATACAAGTAGTTTTAGAAAACTCGTGCTCCATGAAGTAACCCTCTTGCCTTTATATTACCTGTATGACTTTAACCTTAATCTAAGATGCAGGCTCCTGTGTCAACTACCCCACATCCAGAAAAGTAGCTAATGTCTCTATGTAAGTTCAACACAGCTCCTGCTGATCTCCTTCTTTTGAATCTTAGATCCTTTTTTTGAGAACACTCACTGTGATCTTGAACCAGTTCTGTGGGGTCTCATGTTGCTTATTCCCCTCCATTTGTCTCTCTGCGGGTTTTGGCCCTTCCTCCGTGTTAGCATACATTTGGTCATGCTTATGTAAGTTGATTCTCTGATGACGAGTTGGGATGGTATATGGAGTGCTGTAGGGAAATGGAGGGAAAAAAATGTAATCCATGTACACTCAGAAATTCACCAGTACACCATTTGCCCCACTTGGACCAAGCCTACATAAAGTTTGCTCAAACATTAATATGGTTCTATCACTCCTCACTCTGCCAGATTGGAGAGGTGCACGACATATTTAACCACAGTGCCATGCATTTCACTAGCGGGTACATTCCAGCCACGTCAACTGTTCACTTACTATTTTCCTCGAGAGTTCATGTAGGCATTACTCAGTGATGGATCTCCACCTTGCTGCCAGAGGAATGCAGCATGCATTCTATCACTGATGTGTTCAATGGAGTTGATAAATCTTCGGAAATTACCCCGGCATCATACTCTTCTTTGAAGGCTATTAGTTTGGAAACTGTGCCCTTAAGTTGAAAATAGTACATCAATGTGTAAATTTAAAAAAAAAGTCCTGGGAAAATATAACAACTGTTGAAAGTTGCTAGTTTTTATAACCCCAGAAGAAAATGATCACAGTGCCAAAAATGTTGAAAGACTCCACTGTGGTTCTACTTCCTGGGACATGAGAAGTGGGGAGCATTCACAGCCAAGGAGAAAACGAAGGAGTAAAGGCTTGGGTTAAGTACTGATCTGTGATTTTTCTGTCTTGCCCTTCTCAGGGTGAGTGATCTAAGACAATGTGCTTTTCATTCCTCAACCTTGACTCCCTCTTCTGTTCAAAATATTAATAAAAAATTATCTTGAAACTTATCTGTTATAGTTCAAGGATCAAAGGCCAACTTCTTACCTGAAAGAAGAACTAGACAAATGATAAACAAAACTGAACAAAATACAGACAGAGAATACAGAACGAATCTTGGATATACATTATTGTAAAGACTAGGAGAAGAGAAGGAGAAAAGTTAAAGGAAATGTGGTAAGCATCTTCTTAGCTAACACATCTTAGTTGATTAACAGAAGAAAACCGTACTTTAAGAAAACAGAAAGATCTCTTCTGGATCTCGTAGCACATGCTTGTGACCCCAGAACCTAGGAGGCATAGGAAGGAAGACTGCCATAAGTCCAAAGCCAGACTGGTCAATATCATCGATTTAATAAAGAAAAATCAATGATATTGATGAATTTGTAGGAAAATCTAACTAAATATTTACTATATAACACAATGAGAATTTCTTCTGGGATGTATCTATCTATCTATCTATCTATCAGATAGATAGATAGATAGATAGATAGATAGATAGATAGATAGATAGATGATAGATAAATTTATCCTCAAATGAGGGTAAATCCTCAAATGAGGGTAAATAGAATCACAATGTTGTAAGATCTCTATATTGCTTGCAGACTAGCAAAAATAAATATATAGTAAAATCATCTATTTGAACAAAATTGTCCACTAAAAAGTAAGTTAAATTGAAGAGTAAGGAGAATCAGATTACACAAAAAGGATTCCATCAACCAGGTATTGCAGCACATGTCTGTAATTTCAGCACTTGGGAGGTGGAGGTAGTGGAATCAGTGAATTCAAGGTCATCTTGGGCTACATGAAACCTTGTTTCAAAACTATAAACAAACAAAAAAAGGTTCTGTCAAATATTCCTTTAAAAACATAAAATTTAGGACAAGGCATGGTGGTGTGCAATTTAATATTAGCACTCAGGAAGCAAAGTTGGCCAGATCTCTGTGACATAAAGGCCAGCCTGACATAAAGGCCAATCTGGTCTACATAGGAAGTTCCAGGCCAGCTGGGATTACAGGGAGACACTGTCTCAAATAAGCAAGCACACAAACAAAACTTATAAAATTTAATTATATATGAGTTTTAAATTATAAATGGCAAAATGTTCTCACTTATATGTGAAAGCTTAAAAAGTTGAAGTCCTAGAAGTAGAAAGTAGAATAGCGATTACCAGTTACTTGAAATTGTTAGAATAGTTAGGGGCTGGATAGATGTTTCAGCAGCTAAGAACACTGGATGCTCTTGCAGAGGACCAGGTTCAGTTCCCAGCACCCACATGGTAGCTAACCAACATCTGTAACGCCTATCCCAGGGGGTCCAATGCTCTCTTCTGGTTTCTCTGGATACCAGGCACACCTGGTGCACATACATACATGCAGGTAAAACACTCATAAACATAAAATAAAGATAAAATAATTAACTGGGTGTGGTGACCCATGCCTTTAATGCGAGCGCTTGGGAAGCAGAGGCAGATGCACCTCTGCGAGATCCAGGCCAGCAGCTTGGTCTACATCATGGGTTAAAGGCCTGCTGAGGCTACAGAGAGACCCTATCTCAAAAAGACAAAAAAAAAGAATAGTTAATGTGTACAGGGGTACATCCTACCCATTAGGATAGGAAGAATAACTTTTAATGTTTTTTTAAAAGATGTATTTTATTTACTCAAATGTGAAAGATGTATTTTACTTATTCATATGTGGGTTTGTGTGTATCTATGTGAGTGTATGCACATATGTGTACCAGTAATCCCTCACGTGTTCAGAGGCAGAAGAGGGCAGTGAATCCTTCAGGGTTGGACTTACTGGTGTTGAAAGGATGCCTAGTTTGTTACATGGCTTTTGGTATCCAGTTCCCATGATTGCTCAGCAAGTGCTTTTAAAAGTGTGGAATTAATATGCATCAAACAAAATTTTATTTGATATTACATATTCCATAAAATTGTGCAATTAATATGTATCAAATAAAATTTTAGAAATGTTTTTGAAAGAAATACATATTATTTTGTAATATCCAAAAAATTTGTATTAGAAATAGAAAAAGTACACATTAAAGAAGGAAATACTAGAGGAGAAAGATGTTGCTCAGTTGACAAAGTGCCTTCCTCACATGCTCAAGGGCTGAGGTTTGATGCCCAGCACTGAATAAATTGGATGTGATGTCACACAACTCTAATGTTAGTGCTCAGGAGTTGGAGGCAGAAGAGCCAGAAATACAGGGACAGTATTGTTTACATAGAAAGTTCAAGGCCAGTCCAGGCTACGTGGCACACTACCTGAAGAAAGACAGAGATAGAGAGAGAGAGAGGTAGAGAGAGACAGAAAGACAGAATGACAAAAGATTCCATTAAATAAGATGTTTTTCAATTTTTATATTTGTATGTATATTTTAATACATAGTGAAAACACACAAAGAGAAAGTTGACTAGAGGAAATAGAGAAATGGACAAATAAGTCTGGGGAAAATATTAGCATACCTTATTAAATAAATAGATAAATCTGGCAAACAACAGCTCATCTACATGAGGAAGATTTAAACCATGTGAGAAACAAACCAGGCATGCTGTCATATACTTGGAGGACTCGATACTTAGGAGGCTGGAGCAAAAGGATCACTTTAGTCAAGTTCAAAGACAGCCTGAGCTGTTTTATACTTATATGATATATACTATAATACATTACTTAATTGACATGGAATACTACACGCACACAGGCATTTCAAAATAGTATCTAGAAACTTCTATGAGCATGATGCCATCTATCCTGAATGATTGTAGTAAAGAGTCAAGAGGACTGGTAATTTCTCTGTCCCTCTTTTTACACTAGTATAAATCCAAAGAATGGTAATTTCCATCAAGTCTTGTTGTAGGTCATATTTCTCATTTCTCAAACCCTGGACCTGAGGTGACCAAAACTCAGCCCAGTCAGGTTTTTCTCCTTAACTGTGGGGGATGGGGTGGAGGACATCATTGCAGCTAAGCCACAAGAAAGAAAGTTTTACATGCAGAAACACAATTACCTCAGGGTCCACAAGGTTCATTTGGTCCTTTTGTTGTTCTTTTTGAGACAGTGTCTCCCTGTAGCCCCAGTTGGCCTCAAACTCACAGAGATCTGCCTGCCTTTGACTCCCAAGTACTGGGATCAAGGCGTCAAGGCATGTGCCATCATGCTCCACGGTCCTTGTTTTTTGTTTTCGTTTTATGTTTGTTTTGTTTTTGGTTTTTGGTTTTTGGTTTTTTGAGAGTGGAAAAAAACACCCTGAGTCCCTAATCCCCTCACCCCCATCTAAAGAGGTCAGGGGCATGGCATCACTCCTGCCCTGAGGGGACCTGAGCAAATGCCTCACGCTGACCAACTCACCCATGATGTGTCGTGAAGTTTCTTGTCACCAGTGACTTTACAGTGTTCTTCTGAGGAGAATCTGTGCAGCCTAGAGATGGAAGATTGCAAAGGAAAATGAGAGCAGCCTCCAAATATCAGCAGCAAAATGGAGGTTCTTACTGGAAGCTTTATCCTCTAGAGCATAGAGAGAAGAGACCTGGAATGGCAGAGTAGACAAACTTCCTGTTCGTACTGCCCCGTAAGTTTTGTACCAACCAAACACACAGGGAGCCGTTTCCAATTGGGCTCCCCCTACACCGGAAGCCAACAAGAGACAAAGGCTTGGGATTCGCTGATACAAATGCAAGGAACTTTGCATACCCAGCTCTGTATTGGTTACACTACATTGTGTTCCTTTTTCTGCATTGAGAACGCAGAGTGCTCACTGTAAGCCAGGCACTGTACTTCTGTACTTGCTACATTACATCCGTTCCCCTCTCCCACACGCCTCAAGAAATTCTCTGATCTCAGAATCATCAGCTTACTGAGGTTGTGGAGGCTTACTTGGGTACAGATTTTGTCTAGACAAACTCAGATGTTACCTTGGGGAACAGAGTAGTACTGAGAACCTTTGAATAAGGTGACCCCTTCCTGCTCAGTTTTACAAAAAGTATAGAATACCCGAGGTTTTATTAAGTTAGAACAAAATAACAAAATGTTCTGAAAATAGTCACATGGTTGGAATTTAACTTCAGCTCATTCAGAGATAGAATACACATGCACATTCAGAGAGAGAAAGAGAGAGAGAGAGAGAGAGAGAGAGAGAGAGGAAGAGAAGGTGGGGAAGGAAGGGGAGAGAGAGGGGATGGGGAGGGAGTAGAAGAGAAAGGGGAAAGGAAGGTGGAGTAAGAGAGAGGGTTCGGGAGAAGGAGAGAAAGGGGGAAAGAGGAAGGGAAGAAGGACAGATAGAGGAGGTAGGAGGAAGAAAGGGAGGGAAAAGAAGGTAGAGGTGGAAAGAGGGAGAGATAAGAGGGAGGGAAGGTGGGGGAGAAGAAGAGAGGGTCGGAGGAAGGAAGAGGATGGAGAGAGAAAGGGAGATTATATAGGAAATAGCCAAGTTTATTGGGTCATTGTGATGATAAGCAGTCAATATTCATAAATGCCTCACTGATTAGAAACAGAAACAGTTACAAAAATCTCAGGTCAGAGAGCTTTGCAAGCAGGGAAAAAGAGGGTCTGGATTCTAGTTCATCAGAACGTTCTGGAAATACTCCTTCCCAAATTTCTGGCAGTCCCTTCCTAAGCCTGTATGTCCTCAGAGATGAAATCCAGTCCCTGAATGAGCTGAAGGGAATTCTTCATGTGTGTGAACATTTAGGGTGAAGGCAATATACAACAGGTACAAAAATAAGCTGTCAAATTGGGAGTTTGAATTTTTACTTTTATGCATTAGTATCATATGAATACTTTTTAGTTTTTGATTGCATTTTGTTTTACTTGTGTGTGTGTGTGTGTGTGTGTGTGTGTGTGTGTGTGTGTGTGTGTGCCACAGCACACATGTGCAGGTAAGAGGTCAACTTGTGAGAACTGGTTCCTTCCTTCCACTATGTGTGTTTTGGGAATAAAACTCAAGTCATCAGGCTGGGTGTCAGGCACCTCTACCCCCTGAGAATCTTGCTGGCCCTCATATGAGTACTTTTATGAGGTGAAAAATGTTCTGGCTTCAATGCTTGTGTTGCCCAAAAATTCATACTGAAAGTTAATTGCTAATGCAATAATAATAGTGAAGTAATTAGATGATTAGGTCTCAAGAGCTCCGTACTTATGTATCAGATTAGTGCCTTCATAAGCGTTTTAGGGAGCAAGGCTGTGTTTTCACCTCTTCTGTCATATATGGCTGCAGTAACAAACACCATGAAGAAAAGCATGAGCCACTTTCAGATGATGGAATCATGATTTTGAACTCACTGGTCTCCACAACTATGAGTAATGTATTTTTATTATTTTTAAATTGTCAGTTTGTCTCCTCTTTCTCTCTCCCACCCACATGCCACAATCCCAGGCCTAGCTGTGGTCGCACAGCCTGAGTAGCCACCGAGAGCCTCCTGAGTTTCCCAGAAACTCAGTTTCCTAGTTTTCACTCTACTTTTCTACCAGGCCTAGCTAGATTGGGCCAAATATTGTGTTTGAATCTGTATGAATATCTCCCTATAAACCACCACAAAGCTTCCTTGATATAGGGCTAGGACTTTTGTTTACACATCAGAAATGCAGAGGACTGTCATTATTAGATGCCTGCTTCTCTGACTCCAGGACCTAGGGTGGATCCAATAGGAAAACCTCCTCTACAGATGAATGACTGGGACAAGGGAAATGAAATGTGGCCCTGGTGAGTATAGCCACTCTAGAGAGCAATATGGCAACGTCTAGCAAATATCTGATGAAGCTAAGTGTGATTCTATATTATAACCCTTCAGTTACACTCTTGATACACAACCTGGAGAAGCGTTAACATGTAAACAGCAGAAAATAGAAAGAATATTCATTGCCACACTACTTGTGGTATTAAATCTGCAGGAAGAAGATCACCTTTGATTGATAAGATATTTTACAAAATACATTGTGGCACATTCACATAAGAGGATCACACACAATGATGGAGGATGAATGGAGCAAATCTCCAGTCACTGAATAAATAGAGTAGTATACCATACTTAACACAGAGAAGCATCTGAATAAAACGAAGTCTGACAAGAGAAAAACAAAGACATCTGTACAAAATATTACAACACGAATGTCAATTTAAAACTATGCAAAAATATTTTGTTCTGACTAGGGATGTAGTCAGTAGTACAGAGGCGTAAATTATAAGGCTATGGTAGTATCTCAGGAAGTAAAGTGCTTAAAGTGCAAGCCTGAGGACATGCATTCAATCCCCAGAATCCACATAAAAAGCCAAGCGTGTTGGTACGGGACTGTAATCACCACACCGCAGAGGCTAGCCTAGTCTAATTGGTGAGTTCCACGCCAATGAGAGACTTGTTCTCAAAAAAATGTGTACAGCAGTTGATGAACAGCACCCAACATTGACCTTTGGCCTTTACTCCCACATGCATACTCATGCATACCTCCCCAAATATACAGATCCCCCATATGCAAATATGGAGAGATGTACACACACTCAAAGAAAGTGTAAGTCACAATAATGAATTCCAACATACTCGTTACCTCTGGCAGAAGGGAAAGTTCAGTCAAAGAAGGATAGATCAGAGGGTTCTATGGCAGTTTAACAATTTGTGTCTTGACCCATGCTCTCAGGTATTCTGTTATTATGTCTTTGCATGTTTGTAATGTCAAAATTAGCAAGCAATATTTATGTGACCTTTATTTTTAAATGTTAATGATTTTAGAAATATTAAAAAGAAGCCAAACGTAGGAAATATATATAAACATATTTGAACTCTCACCAGGTAACCAAGATAAAACTGGTCTTAGGGAGTAAAGGCCAGTACTATACATTTGTGCTGATGTCTGAGGGGGTAAGTGGGACCCAGACAACACAGTTATTGCTCTTTTAAGAGCAAACAACAGCCTTAAAAACACTTTTTAATTCATTAATCCTATAATTATTCTAAAGCTTGTCCCACTGTATCCTGAAGCTTCTATGACTCACATTGCTCTAATCTTCTGGATCCTTCTCTTGAGTATTTGTTGCCCAATTCTTGTTATGATGAACTACATCTTCGAAAAAAAGTATTATCACAAGTTAAAAACACTTTCTAATCTGGGCATGGTGGCACTCCTCTGAAATTCTAGCACTCCAGAGTCTAAGGGAGGAAGAATGTAAGTTCTAGGCAGGCTTAGACTACACGATGAGACCTTGTCTATAAAAACAAACAAGAAAGCATTTTACACTTATGTTAATGTTATAGTGAATTTGTGGCCCTCTTATTTAATAATCATTGCCTAGTGCCACCTTATTTAGAGGTATTACTTAAACCAAATAAAATACACCAATTTTTAAAAATTTTTTAATGAGTTTTTAAATTTTTTTTTATTTTTTTGTGTATTTCATACAGAACATCCCAAACAATCTTATTCATCTTTATGCCCGTATCCCAAATGGTACCTTCCCAAACCCCCACCCCCACCCCCACTGGAGCCTATGTGCTCTGTCATCCCTGTTACCAGTCCACTGTGTTGTCAGTCCCCCAGCCATTCCCCAGTGCAAGTCCAAGAAACCATGCCAGACAAGAGATACCTTACTTTGAGTCATTGGCCAGGGTGGCCCAAGAGACTCCCAGACAGTAACCCAGCATAGAACTGGGAAAATGAACAGCAACCCCAATCTTATCTAAGGGAATATTGGAAACTGATTGCTGCTAGATGAGGAAGAGCTGATTAAAAACACTTTCTAATCTGGGCATGGTGGCACTCCTCTGAAATTCTAGCACTCCAGAGTCTAAGGGAGGAAGAATGTAAGTTCTAGGCAGGCTTAGACTACACGATGAGACCTTGTCTATAAAAACAAACAAGAAAGCATTTTACACTTATGTTAATGTTATAGTGAATTTGTGGCCCTCTTATTTAATAATCATTGCCTAGTGCCACCTTATTTAGAGGTATTACTTAAACCAAATAAAATACACCAATTTTTAAAAATTTTTTAATGAGTTTTTAAATTTTTTTTTATTTTTTTGTGTATTTCATACAGAACATCCCAAACAATCTTATTCATCTTTATGCCCGTATCCCAAATGGCACCCTCCCATAGCCTTCCCCGCCCACTGGAGGCCATATACTCTGTCATCCATGTTACTGTCCACTGTGTTGTCAGTGCCCCCAGCTGTTCCCCAGTGGAAGTCCATCCACTGAGTCTAGTCAGCCAATCTACAGCCCCTTGTTTTAGGAAGATCAGCTCTTCCTCGCAGCAATCAGTTGCCAACATTCCTTTAGATAACATTGGGGTCTGCTGTTCATTTTCCCAGTTCTATGCTGGGTTACTGTCTGGGAGTCTCTTGGGCCACCCTGGCCAACAACTCAAAAGAAGGTATCTCCTGTGTGTCATTGTTTCTTGTTGTATAGCCTTTATTATACATATGGACTCTA